TGTGCTAAGATAAAATTTGTATTAATCTCACATCATTTTTCAACCCGAATATTACAAACACGATTTTGAGACCTGTGGGTTACTACACTATCAAAACATAACAATTGTGCATTGAAAATGATAAGCCCTCGAAGAAAGAGTCATTGTACGTCGATTTTTCAGCCACATAAACTTAAAATTACTCAAACTTAACATTAAAGCTCACCATGTATGCATTTTTTAGATAAGCAATAGAATCAATGGTTGAACCAATTTCACCTATTGATTCTCCTTTAAGATCTTCCTCTTTCTATTCGTCAAATATTTCAATTGGCTTGATCTTCTCTAAGTTCAAGTCAACATCTTGATTCTCCATCTCTCCATGGATGAGAAAATTAAATATCCACACTGCCTCAAGGACAACTTCTCTCCTTTCATCTTATTCTTCATCAAATATAGGACCTTCATCAAAAAACGATCACTTTGAAATGATAACTCCAATTGAAGATCCAAACGTACTGACTCTTCATCAAACTTAACCAGATCATTCTCTCGACCATGAGGCTCCCGACACAAAGCATGCGTCCGAAACAGCCTCTCGAAAGCAACGTTCGACCCACTACCATCATCATTGTGTGTCGAGGCCGGATTTTGCGCCAAGCGTTGGGTCAGCTCCTTTACTTGCCCCCTCAAATTTTTTATTTCTATATCTCAAAGGTCTCGTTCTCGTTGAATGGGCTCACTCCCGATACGTGGACATAAGCCATGTCTATGAGACATGATGCATATCAACGAACACCACGATCCACAAGAATCAACTAACACTCTGAAAGCAGATCAGTCCAAGGTGGCGGCTATACTTGAGTAGCCTACTCTGTGCAGCATACATGATGTCCACAGTTTCCATGGTATGGCTTCTTTTTACATACAGTTCATCATAAATTTCAGCGCACTTATTTCATCAATTACAGATCGTTTGAAAATGCAAAAAAAAATTGCAGCGGACAACAGAAGCAGAGGCAGTTGAGAAAGAAGAAAATGTTAGAAGCCCCTTTACCAAACTTTGATAAAAAATTTGAAGCAGATTATGATGCATCAGGAGTTGGTATTGGTGCTTTGTTAAGTCAAGAAGGAAAACCTGTAGCATTCTACAATGAAATGCTCAATGGATCCAAGGTTAATTATTTTACTTATGATGTTGAGTTTTATCTCATTGTGCAAACCTTGAGGAATTGGAGAAATTATTTGGTGCAGAGAGAGTTTACTCTTTATTTGGACCACAAAGCTCTTAAATACATCAATGATCAACATAAACTCAATAGAAGACATGTTAAATGAGTGTCTTACTTGCAAGAGTTTATTTTCACCTTCAAGCATAAAACAGGTGTTCATAACAAGGTAGTTGACGCTTTGAGTAGGAGAGTCACGCTACTTACCACTATGAAGGTAAAGGTGGTGAGCTTTGAGACTTTCAAGGAGTTGTACCAAGATGATTCTAACTTTGGAGCAATTCTAGTTGATATCTTAGCAGGTACGCATGATGATTATTGTGTGCATGATGATTTTCTTTTCAAAGGCCTACAACTTTATATACCATAGTGCTCTTTAGGGAAAAGATCATCAGGGAGTTGCATAATGAAGGTCACTTATGGTCATGAAAAAACCATGGCCTTGGTGCCCAAGGATTATTTTTGGCCCAAGATGTTACATGACGTTTTTAGATTTATGACAGATGCTACATTTGTCAAGTGTCCAAAGGATTGCGCAGAATATTGGACTCTATTACCAGTGCCATCTACACCATGGGCAGATATCAATATGGATTTTGTGTTGGGGTTACCAAGAACACAGAGAGGTATGGATTAAGGAAAACTATGGATGCTTTTAATATAACAAAAATCTATTTCATAGAGATTGTTCGATTGCATGGCATTCCAAAATCAATCACTTCCAACAGAGATTCAAAACTTCATGAGTCATTTCTAGAGATCTCTATGGAAGTCGATGGGAAGAGTTATGTTTTAGTAGCGCTTATCATCCACAACCTGATGGTCAAACAGAGGTTGTGAATAAAATCTTAGGAAATTTATTGCATAGTTTTGCAGGAAACAAGCCAAAGCAATGGGATTTGGCTTTACCTCATCCTCAAGCTGAATTTGCTTTCAACAGGTCCCAGAATCGAAGTACTCAAAAGAACCCATTTGAAGTTGTCTATGGATATAATCCCAACAGTGTGCTATATTTGACTCCTATACCTCATGAAGGGAAATTTAGTGGCAAGGCAGAAGATATAGTTGACCAAATCAAAGAAGCAAATTGAAGTTAGTAATGCAAAATATAAGGTTGTTGCTGATTAGCATCGTCGCAAACAAGTATTCGAATTTAGAGATTACGTGTGGGATGTTTTGACCAAAGACAGATATCCTGCTGAGGAGTATAATAAGCTCCGTAACGGAAGATTGTGTCATGCGAAATTTTAAAGAAGATCAATGACAATGCCTATCAGTTACAGCAACCAAGCCACATGCGAGCTTCTGATGTTTTTAATGTCAAACACTTAATTACTTATATAGGAGATACCTTTAGTGACAAAAAGCTTAACTTGAGGACAAGTTCTCTCCAGCCAGGGGAGGATGATGCAATCAAGATGATCACGCTCGATTATCTCGAGCGATTGGATAGCGGTCAAAAGAAGTAGCAACAAGTTAGTATTTTTAATTTTAATTTATTTTTTATTTCCTCTTTGGTAGGTCCTTATTTTCCTTAGGAGTCCATATTTTCTTAGGAAAATGTTGTCCTATTTTTAGTAGGCATTTATTAAAGTCTTGTTTTTGGAATCTTGTTCTAAAAAGCAAATAAGAGATACGCACAAAAATTAGGTAGGTTGCTTTTTTTTTTTAATGGGATGAGGTGACTTTTAGTGACGTCCTCATCTTGCAAAAGGAAAGTAAAGGTAGTATAAAAGGAAGAAAATGATCTTGTAACAGAGTTTCAACGTGAATAAAATTGAATCGTTCTTTTAAAGTATGTGAAAGAAAGTTAAGAGAGAGTGAGAGACACCTTATTCATAGGTTTATTCTTTTCTTCTTCAATTTTGCTAGTGGGCACGTGGCGGATGCTCAGACCTGCACGTTTGTTCTTTCCTCTTGTTGATCTCTTCTTAAATTTTCTCTCTATAAAAACACGATTGTATTTCACCGGGTGTTGTTTGCCGGTAATTTCCAACTGCCACTCAAAGTATGTAGTCGAGATGATTGCGCTCGACTATCTGGAGCAATCGGATTGGGGTCGGAAGAAGTAGCGATAACTTAATATTTTTTATTTTTAATTTATTTTTTATTTCTTCTTTGGTAGGTCTTATTTTTCTTAGGAGTCCATATTTTCTTAGGAAAAAGTTGAGTTAGGCATTTATTAGAGTCCTTTTTTTGGAATCTAGTTTTAAAAAGCAAATAGGAGATAAGTACAAAAATTAGGTAGGTTGCTTTTCTTTTGTGGGATGAGGTAACTTTTGGTGACATCCTCATCTTGCAAAAAGGAAGAAAATTTAGTATAAAAAGAAGCGAGTTGATCTTGTAAAAGAGAGTTTTTGGAGGTGAATAAAAGAGTAAAGGTTTTACAGAGCGTGTAGAGAGAGAGAGAGAGTGTAACCATTTGTGGGTATTTCTTTTTTTTTCCCTCTTGTGCTCATGAACCCATAGCAGAAGGCTCGGATTTGCACGCTCATTCTTGTTGAATTCCTTCTTGGTTTTCATTTCTTTCTAAAACACGGTTAATTTGTCGGGTGTTGTTCGCTGCTAATTTCCAATTGTGTTAGGGGGTCATACTTTCATAAGGTTTAGGTAAAGTTTAGGGCTTGAAATTTGGGTCTTATTGAAAGTTGATTTGCAGATAGAAGAATGAAAGAAGGGCACCTAGGGTTGGTTCAGGGTGAGAAAAGGGAGCAGAGGTTTGCAGTCATGGTTCGTTAACAGTTAGTTTTCCTAAGGTTTAAATGAGCTTTTGGATTATCTAGGTGGGTTTTCACAAGGTTTAGGTTTGGAGGCGGGATCGAAAGAGAGAGAGAGAGAGAGAGAGAGGAGGAGAGAGAGAGAGAGAAGAAAAGAAGAGATGAAGGAAGAAGGAAACCCTAACTTGTATACGGAGTCAACACCTTATGCAACTTATGAAGCCCAGAATTGTAGTAGCATCAACACCAACCCAAACTAGAGTTTCATGAAATCAACACCATGAAAAAGGCATTAACACCTTAGAATGGATGGAATCAAACCATCAAGAAAAAACAACCTATATTCTCAATTGAATCTCTTCTTTGATTGGCTTTGACCTACATTTTATTTATGGAGGTAGAAAACTCTTATCTTGCTTAACATGGAAATTAAAGAATCCCATAATCTTTCCTAAATCTATCTTTTCCAAACGATCCTTTATGACTTTAGGAAACTAGCTATTTTATAAAATGAAGTCCCACACATTCATTATCTAGCTATATTAATACTTAAGGAATATTATAAAACTAATAATCAAACTCTTCAGCTTCCATTTAACCAATAATGGAGGCCTGAAACATCTGAATTAAGATAAACCCTATAGACAATAGTTGTAGATCCGGAATAGACCTCTAATATGAGATTTGAATCACCCAAAACGGACATCAGGGTGAAGAGTTATGCATTTGAAAATCAAACTTGGGAGGAACAACTCTATATCAATATGTTGAAAGAATCAGCTCAATCCAAAAAAAAAAACTTCACCGATTTTCTGAATTTTAGGAGATATGAACTCCTTAACACAAATAAATGCATTGGTATTATCTATCACACCAATCTATCACCATTCAATTAATGCGCAAACCCATTCGAGTTTCAATAGATGCAAAATCCTTAACCTTAAAAAATTAATGTAAACCATCTAAAACTTATATGCAACCAACTCTTTTATAGACCTCACATTAATCAAACATCAACATACTTAAAAATTTATCTTTTAAAAAAATAGAGATAGAGGGAGAGATTTAATAATACCGATCCAGAACAACAAACATAAACGTTATCAGTGAGCTCTGTGATTTTATCCGAAGCACGATTGGCAACATACATCCCTGGTACCAAAATAAATCATAAACAAAAAGTGTGATTAATTACTAGTTAATAACCAATTTCTTCAACAACAAAATAAACCTTGCAAATGCCTAACAAGATTACCTGTGCTTGTTCTAGAATCAGCACCAAGAACTACACCACCATCATATGTTACTCGGATAATAGTTGTTCCCATTGAATGGGACGCATTTAGGTTAAGATCCATTCCGTATGAGATATCTGTTCTACAAATATTCCACAGTGAGGGGTAGTTTTTTCTTCCACCAATTTAGAGAGAAATAGCAAAACTATTATGATTTCCCCAAAACTTTCCAAATATGATGGTCTATTTCAATAGTATCAAAAATTATAAGAAAATTTTATGAATACTATGGACAGTTACCTTCAAATTTAACAACTTTGCGACAGTTTTTCAAATATTGTAATGAGTTTATTCCCACTGAACCGTTGTGTTAACCTTGTATTAAAATATTAAACATGAAAGTTGAAAGGCATACAGGAGAAAGTAACCAATTCAAAATGCAACTTCGCTCTCTAAAACCAAAATTAATGACAAACAAAATACTTTTCTGATTGTGATTGAACAAGCAACAAGCTCTATAACCCAAAAACTGATGCTCAAAAATCTGAGATACCTAATTTCTTGCCCACCAAAAATTGAAATACCAAGGAAAAAAAAAGAACCAATTTTACTTATGACCACATCTAAACAGTGATTTTATCAAATCATGATATAACATAAGGGTTTTGCAGAACCACGATTGCATCAAATGTTCCAGATGATATAACATAAAGCTACAGTTTTGCAGAAACACCATAAAGAACAGCCCCGTAATAGATGCCAGAACGATCCATTGAAACCTAAACCCTAATCTCTTTTCGATGAATAAACCTAAACCCTAGTTCCAGCTGATCTGCACTAAAAAAAAAAAAACGCCGCGAAAGCCACAACAAAAACACTAATATATGGAACACTGAAATTAGAGTTCCTTTAAACCTTAATATTGCAGAGTTTAAGAAGACGTGAAACCTCGAAGGGGGAGAGAAGCGGGAAACCGTATTCGTTTCTTGCTAATTATGAATGAAGTCAGCGTGATTTAAATGAGGATCTCTCGGTGCCTTCGTTGTTTGCCGCTTTTCTTTCTCTCGAAGTTACGAGTCCCTGTTTTTTCCATTCTTTCTCGCTAAAATATTTTATACTCCAATGGAAGTATACTGTAGATACCCCTTCGGGTAAAACTCCATGTTCGAGTAGTTTTAGCTAAGGTTGACAATAGAAAACTCCATATTTTAGTTAGGGTTGGCAATGGAAAACTTCATATGGGAGTAGTTTTAGCTGCGGGTGGCAATGACCTGGACTCGACTCGAGTAGACCTAATCTAGATCTGAGTCTAAATATGGATTCAAACACTATTTGTGTTAAGGTAATATTTTTTGGATCTCAATATATGAAATATATTTAAATAATATTAAATATATAAATATTTTAATTTTTAGGATTGGTCTGCGTTGGGGTCCCGCATTATTTTTTTGAATCTGTGACTCAGTCTAAAATTACGACAACTAACATCAGAAAAATATTTGTGTTTTGGATAGATAGAAAATTGCAAGGAGAAGGAACAAATGTGCGGATTCGAGTATTCCAACATGAACCCAATTTTTTTCATTCACAAAAATCAATCTCTAATATATTGTACATATACCTTTTTTATAAAAATCAAATGTTTATATAAGGTTGCAACCTTATAATGTAAAGCTACGGATGAACCTCAAAAATCCACCGGAAAAGGTAGTTTTAACGTTGAAAAACCCTTTGATTGATCATCTCGACATCGATATGTATGACCATGAAAAATAAAAAGATTTGAAGTCTCATAAATACTGCATTTTGCAACATATTATCTACACTATCCATTTTCAAGATTTTCATATGTTTATAGATCTATTTGATTTTAACCGTTTCTTAAATTTTAAAATTTATAATTAGATATAAAAATAGATTTTAAGATAATCCTAAGAACATTTTACATCAAATTTATATACCATGATAAAATTTGAAGGCACACCTTACCTCTACAACTACGGATGCATCTATATGCCAACTGTACCCTTTATAAAATAGTTTTATATTTCGAAAGATGAAATTGCTAAAAGGAAAACAAATTATATCTAAGTAAATCCAAATATGAAGGTCCTACTCTCTTTTTTCCCGGTAAATCTAACCCAAAAATATAGACTAAAACCTTTCTAAAAATAATATAGGGTCTTTATAGGGAAAATTACAAAAAAAATCCCTAACACTACAATTTCTATGCAACTTACCTCAATGTAATTCATTCTCTCACTTTTTTTCCCATAATGTATTTTATATGCAAAAACTCAAAAAAAAAAATCTAAACTACCCTCCCTTATTTTTACCTTACCCACGCCTCTCTCTCACCTATCCCACCAAAATAGTGTGCAAAGTTTGGTCATGCAGTAAGGCCACCAAAATAGAGTATAAAGTTTGGTCTAGCAGTAAGGCTTCGATACTGTGTAAAGTGTGGTTCGACAATAGGGCTCCAGCACTGTGTAAAGTGTTGTCCGGCAGTTACAAAGGGCGGTCCGGCACTTGTGCATTCCGGCAATGTGATGGTGCACCCAGCAGTTACAAAGGACGGTCCAATACTTGTGCGCTCCGACAATGTGAAGGGCATTTTCGCCTTAAAAAAATAACTTTTTATTGGGAGTATTTGCATAGTAAATTTGTTTTGAAAAAAAACAAGTTAGGTAAGTTGCATAAAAAAAAGTCGTCTTGAGATTTTTTTGTAGTTTTCTCAAAAAGTTTCCACATAACCACCCTACCACATGGCAGTGCAAGTTTTGCCAAAAGTTTTACTGGAATATCTCTCAAAAGAAATATCTACAATACTCCTGAAATACCCCTTCTTTAGCTTTCACCACAGGTAATCACCACTGTTATTTAACCCAACAATTTAAAAAGGGAAAAGTTTATATAGAACTTAAGCTCTAAACAATCAAATTAGAACTCACCTCAAAAATTTCACTAGAATAGGTTGTTTGAATGCTCAAATATCATCAAATTGATCATCTCGACATCAAGATGCATGGATATGAGGAGAAAATGGATTTCAAGTTTCGGAAATAGTGCATCTTGTAACGTACATTTGGAGTTTTTAATATTACACTTATTTTCAGGGGTTGCAATGAACCCGACCGACCTGGGACCCGAGGGTTAGACCCGATCCGAGTTCGAGTATGACCCGGCGGTTCAGATATGGGTTCAAATTTTAGACCCGAATATTATTTAGGTCCGGATCCACGTCGAATAATATTTTTACGATCCCAATATATGAAATATATTTAAATATAGGTCAAAACATAGATAATTTAATTTTTGGGTCGGATCCGAGTGGGTCCAGATCTGGCGAATTCGGGCCTGGACCCGATCCGACCCGACCAGACTCATTGCCAGCCCTATCATTTTCATGTGATACGGTTTCTCACGCCTCTTATCTCTCTCTCTCTCTTCTCTCTATCCTTACCTTATCCGCTCGTGTGGCTCTCCACACTCTCATTTTACACACACAGATTTTAATTGAGAATGCATATGTATGACCGAAGAGAAAAAGCCCAGTGATATTGCTTTGAGCCTTTACCACCCACCTAAAACCCCTTATCTAAAAAAGGAGACAAAAGCTGAAAGCCATGGAAGCTCAAGGCCTTCCCCCTCTTTCCAAGCCAAAGGGGACCCTCACTGCAACTTCAGGTTCTTCTTATCCTATCAGAGCTCCCCCTTCTCTTGATTCTGATATTGATGAAAACATTATAGAAGATAGCAATGATAACAGTAATAACAGTACAAACGCTTTAATGATGGGGAACAAAATAGGTAACAGTAATGTCAATAATGGGGGCAGTAGTGACAGTGGCGATGATATTGAGGAAGATAGCTTTTTGAGTGGGGAGGATGACTTTGACACAGCGTCTGAGAGGCCTTTTGTGGCGGACCCAGATGATGAAACCCTAGAATTGGAAATGGAGGATGAGGAATTTGAGACCCCTTTTCTTGGTGATAGTGGGGAGGAGAAGGTTAGAGCTGGGGTTGTCCCTTCTGGTTCGAAAAATCCTGGGGTTTTGATGCCAGTCGCTCAGGTGTCTGGTGAAGACGAGGATGAGGGTTTGGGTGAGGGAGAGAGTGAGGAGGATGATGGGTATTCAAGCTCGGTTAGGGTTCCTAAAGTTGCAGAGGTTGATCGTGAAAAAGGGGTCTCTGATTCCTTGGTTTCAGATGAAGTTACTGGGAAACGTCAATTGGGTTCCAGTCCTCTGGCTTCAGAGACCATTGATGAGCCTAAAACTGGCGTTCCGGAGGTGGAGAATTCCACTGTTTTAGGGCCTAGCTCTCAAAAGGAGGTAGAACCTGGAAAAACTGAGGTTTCAGCTATTGGATCTGATGAACAATCTCAATTTGAAGATAACGAAAAGTCTGAAACCTCAGAATCAGTGGGCTTGGCTCCAAAAGCCACTGTTCAAGAGGTAGACAGAACTGGGGGCTCAACTACGAGTAATGAATCCAATGTAAAATCTGATGTTGGAGATAATTCAGTAGTTGAAGTCTCTGGTTTGGAGGCCACTGAACAAAAAACTGGTGATGGTGAAGCTGAGAAAGCTGTGGGTTCGAGCACTGTTTCAGGCGGAGTCGCAGAGCTTGAAAAGAGTCCAGTTGTTGAGAGCTCACAACCAGAGGTTTCTCAGCTGGAAACAGGGGTTGAAGAGGGAAGAAGCAATGGAGTTTTGACGGGTGGGTCTGACAGAAAGCTTGAAGTTGAGGTGGACTCGAAAACGGGAACTGTAGATTCAGGGGAGGCTGACGATAAAACTGATGTTGCAGAGGTAAATAATGAGCCTTGTGAGAACCCTGTAACTGAAGCAAAACCACAAGTCATAACCCTGGTTTCAGAGAGTAATGAAATGAAAGCAAAGAATGAGGAGCCGAGTGTGGAGTCCAGTGTAGAAGCTGAGTCAAAGAATTGTGACGCTATTGTTCGTGGCAATGCTTCTAAAACAGGTGTGACTTTGAACCCTGATGCACAGGAAGAAACCATAGACACAGAGCCCAACCATGAGAAAGGAACAATTTGTCCTATTTTAGAAGCTATTAACTCGGAGAATTCAAATGCATCAGTAGCTGAAGTAATTCATAAAACCAAAGCCGTGGATCTCTCTTTAACCGCTCGTGAAGGTGGCTTTGGAGATACTGAGGCAGAGGGAGAAAAAAGTGTCAGTGAATCCAAACTCAAGTCTTCCCGCTCAAATGAACATTCTTACTCTGATGTAGATGAGGTAGAAGCGTCAGAAGCTTCAGAGCCATTGGTTCAAAATATGGAAGAAGAGATCAAGATGATTCTCCTCAAAGACTACATCAATTCTGAATACCAAAACCCCACACTTCCTCCCAATACATTGGCAGCTGAAACAGCCCAACAGATAGTAAACGAAATGGAGAAGAACTCATCCATGTATCTCCAAAAAATGGATGATCGAGTTGTGTCAGAATCAGATGAAGAAGTAGAAACTGATGAAGAAGAGCAAGATGGCAAAGAAGAGCTATTTGATTCAGCTGCCTTAGCTGCTCTTTTAAAGGCGGCAAGTAGTGGTGGTACTTCAGATAACACCATAACTATCTCACCTTCCGATGCACCAAGGCTGTTTTCCAGTGATCCTCCTGCTGGATTGGGATCATCCATGCCCTCATTGAGGCCTACACCCCGGCAAAACCGTCCAAATATTTTTACCCAAGCAGAAGTTGCAGCCTTGGGGGACCAAGACACCACAATGGATGAAGAAGAAAAGAAATTGCACGAGAAGATACAAAACATAAGGGTGAAGTTTCTTCGGCTTGTTCACCGGTTAGGCCATTCATCCGAAGATGTAGTGGCTGCCCAAGTTTTGTATCGCTTAGGGTTAGCTGAGGGGATTAAGCGGGGCTGGCATGGAAGGCGAGGCGTTGGGCTTGAGGCTGCGAAGCAAGAGGCCAAGCAACTTGAGACTGATGGTGGGTCTCCCCTTGATTTCTCGTGCACAATTTTGGTTCTTGGAAAAACTGGGGTTGGCAAGAGTGCGACTATAAACTCAATTTTTGGAGAAACAAAGGCCCGAACTAATGCTTTCGAGCCATCAACCCCAACTGTGAGAGAGATTAATGGGGTTCTTAATGGGGTAAAGGTGAAGATTATCGACAGTCCAGGTCTTATGCCTTCAGTGATGGACCAGAGTGCGAATAAGAAGGTGTTATTATCGATAAAGAAGTTCACAAAGAGGTGTCCTCCTGATATAGTCTTATATGTGGATCGGCTTGATACACAGAGTAGGGACTATAATGATTTGCCTCTCTTGAGGTCGATAACTAGTACTCTTGGGGCCTCGATTTGGTTCAATGCTATTGTGGCTCTCACTCATGCTGCATGTGCACCCCCTGATGGTGCCAATGGAGCACCACTAAGCTATGAGGTCTTTGTGGCTCAACGCTCACATGTTGTTCAACATTCAATAAGGCAGGCAGCGGGTGACATGAGGCTAATGAACCCGGTTTCTTTAGTTGAGAACCACCCTTCTTGTCGAAAGAACAGAGAGGGCCACAAGGTCTTGCCTAATGGACAAGCCTGGAGACCCCAACTCTTGGTCTTGTGCTACTCATCAAAGATACTTTCAGAGGCCAACGCTCTCCTCAAGCTCCAAGACTCAAGTCCTGGAAAGCTCTTTGGGTTAAGAATTCGGTCCCCCCCGCTCCCTTTCCTTCTCTCCTCTCTCCTCCAATCCCGGCCCCACCCCAAGCTTGCAACTGATCAAGGGGGCGATAATGGTGACTCCGACATAGACTTGGATGATATCTCCGATTCCGATCAAGAGGGAGATGAAGATGAATACGATCAACTCCCCCCCTTCAAGCCCTTGAAGAAGGCACAATTGGCCAAACTTAGCAAAGATCAAAGGAAGGCCTATTTTGAAGAGTTTGATTACAGGGTGAGGTTGCTTCAAAGGAGGCAATGGAAAGAGGAGCTCCAACAAATTAAGAAGGCAAAGAAGAGGGCATCGGCTGGTGAATCAATTGTAAGCGAGTTTCCAAATGAGGATTATGATGTGGGGCCTGCGGCTGTGCCGGTTCCGCTTCCCGACATGGTGTTGCCCCCATCATTCGACGGTGATAACGCCGGTTACCGATATCGTTTTCTTGAACCCAGCTCTCACCTTCTGAGCCGCCCTGTTTTAGATACACATGGATGGGATCATGACTGTGGTTATGATGGTGTGAGCCTTGAAGAAACCCTCGCAATTCTTAACAAATTCCCTGCTGCCTTATCTGTCCAAATAACTAAAGACAAGAGGGAGTTCAATATCCACTTGGATTCTTCGGTCTCAGCCAAGCATGGCGAGCATGGCTCAAGCATGGCTGGCTTTGATATACAGACAGTGGGCAAGCAATTGGCCTACATTTTTCGAGGTGAAACTCGGTTTAAAAACTTCTACAAGAATCGAACTGGAGCTGGGTTCTCGGTTACAATTTTGGGGGACACCATAGCGACCGGGCTCAAGATTGAGGACCGGCTTCCTATTGGGAAGAGGCTCAATTTAGTGGGAAGTGCAGGAGGCGTTCAAGCCGGTAGCGATTTGGCTTGTGGGGCCAATTTGGAGGTTAGACTGAGAGAGGGAGACTATCCAATTGGGCAAGACCAGGCCACGCTGGGGCTTTCGCTTATGAGGTGGAGAGGGGACTTGGCATTGGGTGCTAATTTGCAGTCCCAGTTTTCGATTGGTCGTAATACGAAGATGGCTGCTCGAGTGGGGTTGAATAATAAGATGACAGGGCAAATTACAATTAGGACAAGCAGCTCGGAACAGGTACAAATTGCGTTATTTGGGATTATTCCTCTGGCTGCTCTATTGTTTCGGAGCCTGTGGGGTGGTCGTGAGTCACAGTTTGGGCGCTAGAGTTTGAAGAGCCATTTTTGTGGGTCCAGTTGTTTTGTTGGTGGTACAGCAGTGAAAGACTTTTAGGGTTTGAAGAGCTTTTCCGGTTTTTGCACTTGGGTTTTGAAGAGCCTTTTTTGTGGTGCACAGGTACTCTCTCTCTCTCTCTCTCTCTCTCTCTCTCTCTCTTGTTATGGGGTTGTGGTTGTTAGTACGGTGCAGGTGTCATTTTTGGGGTTTTTGTTTTGGTTCTTCTAAGCCAATATTTTTCTATTGAGAATTTTGCTTTTTCTGTGAGAGTTATAGGGCTTTGTAGCAAGGCAAGTGGTTTCCTATCGTAAGGCTCTATAGATTTGGAGATGATAAGTACGGTGGAACCTAATAAGGCTTAATTTGTTTGAATGTCCAGTATTATTTCTGTTGCAATTCATGTTCGAATTCTATTACTTTTTTATGTTGTTTGTTTTGAGTTATTTTTTTTAATGAGTTATGTTTCATTGCTTCTACCATTAGGATCCCCTGAAGCATTCCCATGAGCTCTCTCTCCCTGTAACAAACAAAAACTCCATTTTTCAGAATTATTTTGTGCAGTACGGTCTTGGAGCCAAATCTTCCATCTGGAACCATTAGTTTGTGCAGATAAGACCTTTAGTTGATTACTATGTTATCAGCCATTCTTTCCATTGCGCACGGTTGAATACAATTGCATCAAAGCTTCATTACCTATGAATTAACAATGAATTTCTTAGTGTTGCTTTCCCATGGCTAATTGATGAGAGAGAGGATCATATTTGATGATCTCTTTCAATTTGTTCCAATCATAGTTATGGTTGTGCAAGGGTAGGTAAGTTCGCTAAAAATCAGTGTTACCCAAAAATCCCATAATATCCTCAGTAAATATCAGAATCAATTATATTCCAAATCAACGAACACAGTTTGGTAAAAGCTAGAAGGGTTTTAATACTCAATTTTGGCTAAATTTCTGAAAAATGTTTTGATTGAATTCGGCTAACTAACAACCAAATACCAATAAAAAATTTGTTGCATCTGCAGATTTTTTCTTACTATTCAGCCCAAAAACCATAATACCACCTCTACTTTCCTTTTAACTTCCAAGTAATAAGGAAAGGATTAAGTTTCATCAATAACTAAATTTGTTGACCAACATACAGTCACTCTGAGCAGACTGAAACTATCTGGCTAATGATTAAACAATAAATCATCTTTACCAAAAATAAATACAAACCACATGGGTGCATGTTCGATTCCTTTACCAATGTTTGACATGGGCAATTCCTTTAACAATGATTGCCATGGGCTCGAAATGGACCAGAAACATAACACACGCACGCATCTGGTTTATTTCAACTATAAAATTCATTACAAGGATGGAAAGATTACACTGCCTCTCCACTGAGTAAACATGATTATTCAAGGGGTTATGAATTTTGAAATGAATCCTCGATATTACAATTATTTTCAACCAGACCAGAATGTACCGTGACAGGATTTCCAAGCTCCAATTTAAAACCACTTGAAAAATAGGGAATATATACTATAATCCAGCAGATTATGGAAAATCATAGTCCATGGTGGTCATCACTGTCCATTGAAACAATAAGACAGTAACAGAGATAGTAGGACCCAATAGAACATGACAACTCCAAATGCAAGTCCTGCTCTCACTCTATCGCTGTCTATACTCTCATTGGACAGCGATCATGCCCTCAATGGATCATGGTTTTCCATGTTCCATACGATTACCGAATTCTTTTCCCAGGAAAAGAGATCCATATACACTAATCTTCTTCTCAAATGGATAAAGAATAGAGTAAGATGCTCTATGCATAGAGATATGATACACTGGTATAATCCCACTTATAGTTACATGAGATGCTAGAATGTTACTCCACTAATCTCAAACAAGCTGAACAACTGCAGCTACTCTTAATGCTCCTGCTTGAACGAGATCAGCAAGTTCATCAAAGAGCAAAGCTCTTCGCCAACCCCAACCCTTGGGCGCCTTAGGTAATAGAGTACCTTCCTGAACACTTGCAAACACCATGACTTCTCTCTTTGATGGACAAATCAACTGCGATTAACAATGGAAGTTACTATCAACCTAAAAACTACAAAAATGGAAGTTTATCTTGTAGATACCCCAATATACATTTGCATTTCCTTCTGATAGTTAAGTAAAGGTAAAGTAATTTGAGAAAGTGCACGATAATACAATGGGAAATGGGGTCAATAAAGTTCAATAAATGGACGGTGATGGATAGACTGATAGAAAGTAGGACCCGGTTCAGGGTTATGTCCTATTCTGGTTGGTCCCTCTCTCTGTCACCTTCATTTGATTGGTCAATTCATCATTCCACAATCCATTGCATTGTAGCACAATTTCCCAAAATTGAAACCCAACTACAAGTCATGTCAGGACTAGTAAAATAAACAGAAGCATTCACTACCTGATAACGAGCTTTAACCTTTTCTCTAATATCTACATAGGGATAAACCTGTAAATTGAAAACCCAATTTCAAGATGAATTTCTGATATAGCAAGCAGTCTCATGTCTATGTTCACTGTGATGTTTGTCATAATTAAGGGAAATATATCAAATCACACCTCAGAAATCAACTACATTTCACCCAACAAAATATTACCCATATAATGATGTGTACTTTGATTGACTATTTGAAACTGGATGTAATTTGATCAATTTCCCTATAATAAAAAATAACATAAAAAAGAAAATAAAAAAGAAAAACGAAAGATAGCTGACTTTTCTTTGATGATCTATTGCCTCTGCCTTGCGTCGATGGAGAAATAATCCTGAAATCAACAGAGATCAACTGAGTTCCCAGTTCAAAACGTGGTTCTCCCCACATACTACACATGAGCAAAAACGTACCAATTGTCCGGCGTCCTTGGGGGTCTTCATCACTAAATGCCTGAGCGCTAACCTGCAAAAAAGAATTTCAAAGCTCACAGCACATGTATATATATTAGGGAACCCAAACATTCAACAGAACTGGTGGCACTTTGCCTACCTTCCACAGAGAACCTGCATAAAATACTTCTGGGGAATGCTTGACTTGTCCATCACTAAGCCTGTGCACGTCCTCAAATTCCACCCTGCAAGGTTTATTTGCATTATCGAAATGACACTAAAAATTCAAGGTCAAACGAAACAAAGCTCAGAAACAAATAACTAGCCAAAAGAATTGCAAATCTATCTAAAAAGGAAATAGGTATACACATGGAGTCAAAACTTCAAATAGTATGGAAAGCTCTTTCCACCCCACGAAAAATAAGAAACAAAAAAATTGATGCCTGAGCTTACTAGAAATGCAATCGGAGAATCAAAACTTCCAGCACAGATCTCTGAATATGCTTGGATATTGATATAATAAGTTACTGACAGTGGCATTGGATAATCTGGAAGTTTTTCTTTGGATTAATAACAGTAAAAGATGTGGAATTGCCGAGTATGTGTTACAAAAACTGGTGTTATAGAAATTCATACAAAAGAGGTTACCTTGTCCTGATAGTTTGTGAAAGCTGGTATACAAAGGACTCTGCCAGTTATGTCTTGTTTGGGAAGCGAGCCCACTATTGTGCTTGCCTCATGCTACGCATGAATGAAGGAAACACGTAGTGGGCAACAAAGTACGAAGATATTGTCGAAGATGTGTTCGAGTTGCCAGGTCAGAAGGGGGATATGCTTGCCCAATTATGATGACATTTTTGGAATCTCCTTCAGCCAAAAGGGCGAACCCCAATAGCAAAGCCTAGGCTCAGGCTATAGTATATTTTTTTTAAGCTGTTCACTTTGTATTGATTAAAATGGAGTGTACAAAATATGAAACTACAGCTCTGGCGGGTGTCCTATACAAAAACCCCGTAGGGTCCAAAAGTGCTATACAGCTTATAGAGTAAAGACAAAGAGCTGTGTTAAGTACAACTCAGGATGACTATGCCTTCAAGAAATTGACAGGTGGAGTTCGATAAGGCTCCTTAACCAAAAAATTGGTAGCAGCATTAACTTCCATAAAATTGTGCTGACATGAGACCCTAAGGCCCCTACAAAGGTGTGATATTTCATCAAACATATGTTATAATCTCCAAGGGCAGTAGGTGGAACCGGAGGCCCAAGCACTAACGTTCTAGGAGTCTCCTTCGACCATCAAGTGGGGGCTCCAATTGGGGTTGAACTGGGGTTGAACTTTCAAAGGCCTTCCAAGAGGGCTAGGGCCTCGACTTGTGTAGAATCTGCGATACCAATGGGGAGGAAATATGAAAAATTTGATGGGGCCTGAAAATGTTTACAGTGTGGCACCTGTTGTGGCTTCCAAAGAAGCCCCCAATGCCCATGCCTGGGATGCCCAAAGAGCATCTGTCAAAATTGAGCTTTGTGACGTTGCTTTCAGGATTAAGATTTGCAAGATTTGTGGTTTAGGCCCCACAAAGTGAAGATAGATGTCAAGTGGTCCTTCAATGGATTGATGGTGCTTTCCTTGCTTTCAACGACGCATCTATTCCTTTCCAACCATACGAGCCAAAGAAAAGTTAACAGGAACATTTGCCACAAGTGTAGATCAGATCTGTGGCTGGGAAGGAAGGTAGAGACTAGGATTGGAATAGTGCAGGAGGTGAGCATGACCCGACATCAGCCAAAGAGATTGAGATGTGGGATACTAGAACTGTGAGGCGAAAGCACAACATAGGAAGAGACAGTTGATGGATTATTCGTGGTACCCACACATTGCAGAGAAATAACCCGCTCCGCATGTGGTCCTGTGTGAGTTCCTTGTTCGAAATGACCAACCAGTTGGAAGGCTTGGAATTTTGATGGAGCTTGGGTAACCCAGGCCCTTGATACTAGGGCAGGAGCATCATTCAATTGGTTTAGTGTCTTGTAGAGAGAGAAGACCAAGAATAAGCCCAAAGTGGAAGGGGTCCAGACCTTGTCCCTGCCTGAGAATAGTATGATATAGTTTTAAAACTATGCCAGCAATGAGACACGCTCCAGAGCCTCACTATCATTGAGGTTACGCCTAAATTAGGGTGCCAGACTGTTCAAGTTGCTTTTATTAGCACGAGACATTAGCCTCCTAGTTGGTAGAAATAAGGCAGACATCAGGGGATTCCTGTTCCAGGAGTCGAGGGAGTAGTCATAGTTAGTTCAAAAGCAAACCCCTGTTATGGCTGCATAATGGATTTTGTAGGAGAAAGCATGGAAGCGACTGATGATAGCTTTCCAAACACCCAAAGCGTGGTTGTTGGTTGTCCCACCAGGTAGCCAGCCAAAAATTTGGGCACCATATCAATGTTTTCTTTTGAGAATGTTAACATTGTATTACTTGAAAAGAGGAAGGAATACAATAGATAGAGGGAGGAGAGGACCGAGAATACCCACGAGACAGGTATCTCAGTCAAAAAATCGGTTCACTGACCCTGTACAAAATATATCCTTTTGAAGTGGCTGTATACAAAAGATTGAGGTCTCAAAAAAATGGGCTTATAAGCACGCCCTATTACAAGAGGTAGCAAAAAATATCTAGTGTCCTAGAAACCTCTGTGGTCCAGAGCAAGGGCACCATATCAATGTTTGACCACCGTCCACCACATTGGTGACTTTCTGGGGCAGAGTCCACAGCCCCTTGGCAAGGGGAGCTCTGTTGCAGCCCCTTAGCTTTCTGATCCCCATGCCACCCCTGGACTTAGGCGGACTGTTTCCCAACTAATGAGATGAAATTTTTATGGGGCTCGCAAGCTCCTTTCCATAAAAATCCTCTCCTCGAGCATTCTAGAGTGTGTTCAATGGATGTAGGCATTTTCAACAGAGATATCTGGAAAACAGGAACACTGGAAATCGTGGGCTTCATTAAGATGATGCAGCAACCAAATAAGAAAGAGATACTATCATGTGCTCAATCTCTAGACAACTGGACCCCAAATGGGTGGTCTACTCTGAGAGGAGGAGAAGCTATAGAACATATCATGGCTGTATCCAGAAGAAAGAGGGAGATAACCCACCTTGGCGGAGGCCCCTTGAAAAGTGGAAGAAATCATGGGGATGAGGACTTCTGTTAATCAATATGGAGAAGAAAGCAGAGGAGAAGATTCTTGACACCCAAGAGTGCCACATTCAGCTGAGGCCCATCAGAGCCACAGCCTTTCAAAATCCAATTTGATGAATAGGAAAGGTTTACCAGAAGGTGTCTGGCATGGATACATTTGTGAGCGATCACTGCTCCATCATGAATCTGTCTTCCTTGGGCAAAAGTGCCTTGAGTTGGGCATGTCTTGGCTGAGCACATTGCTCAGAAGCAAGCACTTAGTGGCTTGCACGAGCTGTTATGAGGCTGATGGGCCAGAAACCCTTTCTCATCAGCTCTTTCAAGCTCGAGGATAAGGGCAACGAACGTGGAGTTCATACCCATATTGATGATACTCTTTAAGAAGTTACAATACTTGTACATATATATGGTTTAAACATGAAGATATCAAATGAATAAAATTAAAAATAATGTTGCATCCCCTGATACACATAATGTAACAATCGCAATATGGTATGAAACGATATCTGTAATATGAATCACTAATGTGGTACAACCAGTCAAATGCTTGTAGTGGTATACCATAGTGGTACACGAGATAAACATATATGACCGCTTTTTAAAAGGTTAACTGTTGTATTGTGCGTAAGTGTTTACAAAAATAATCATGCAGTCCATCGGGTGGGTGCTCTTTACAGTTCCCAAAAAATGCGTTCTAGCTGAAGCTACACAAAAATGACTCAGAGACCCTGTAGATCAAAATAAAAACAAAGATAAAACCCTGTCCAAAAATAGGTAAAAATGGGACCGATGCTCAAAAAGGTGCCAAGAAGGTCATGCTATTAAGCAGGTCAGCTGTTCCAGATAGTGCTCTGGCTTTAGCGAAGCTATTTGCTTCATGGTTTGCCCCGTGCCACGTACGTCGAAAAGGGATGTACATATGCCTGCAAAGATCGGAAAATTGGTCAAAGATGTGGTGCAGCCACCATGGACATGTTGAATACTTCTTAGCCTAGGATATGACGTTTTTGGAGTCCTCCCCCACCACTAACCTACTAGACCAATCCACCATGACCCTTTTGATGCCCATGCCCTCCAATTGGGCTATAGACTCAGCGCTAGTGGAATCAGTTTAGCCAATGAAACCGGAGTAGGAGAACAAAGTGGTGCCACTCTGGTCCCTAAAACGACCACCGAATCCTGCCAGTCCAAGGTTGCCAAGGGAGCAACCATTGAAATTAAGCATGATACTACCATGTTCAGGGGGCACTACAGTTGTGATAAAGGGATTTTGATGGATGAAGTTTCCAACATTTCCAGCCAGATCTGAAGAAAATCATTAGCAGCATGGTGCCTTAACTCTTCACCTTTTCAAGTTTGTGGCCCAAAAAATGACAGTGGCATGGATCCGGTCCATTATTGTCATGCCTAAGTTTTCCCTTCCTTCAAATGTTCTCAGATTCCTTTCCTTCCAAGTAGCCCAAATCGTAACTGTGATAGCTGCACGACCTGCAACAAGCCATTTGAAGAGGTGGAGAAGATGAGCCCAGAGGCAGGAGGCCACTTGCAATGTAAGAAAAGATGATCATTGGTATCCTCCACGGCTTTACACATGATACATCTATTAGGAATAGGGATGCCCCTTTTCTGCAGCTGATCAAACTGTGAGGACCCTCTTAGAAGTCGCCAACAAGCAGCCATGAGAGAGAGTCAATATCATATTTCTGGCGGAGTACTTGCTGCCATAGGCGGTTGCTCCAAGTGACACATCTCCACCACCATTTCCCAATAAGGGCTTTGTTACCTAGTCCGAGACTACAAATGCCCAGCCCATCCTGTCTCTTTGTTAGACAAACCTAATCCGAAGATAACAGGTGTGCCCACCACTCTCAGCTGACCAAAGGGACTTCCTCATCTCCCTCAAGATGGGTAGCAACAGAGGTCGGGATTTGAAATAGGGACATTTGGTAGATAGGGACATTGGAGAGGGTGGCCTTGATAAGGTTTAGGTGGCCCGCCATTGAGAGGAATCTACCTTTCCACCCAGCCAACTTAAGGTCAATGTTTTCCACC